TCATGGCCTCGACTCCTCAGCCCCACAGCTCATTGGAGAGTCACTTTTCCTGCACTTCCATCCTTCAGCCTGGGCTCTGTGCCCTCCTTTGGGTGCATTCCTCAAGGAGCCCTTGCTGCTGTCCTGTGTCCCTGTGCAGCCTCTGTGGGTTTGTGGCTGAGTCTTGCTTCCAGCCCCCAGCAAGTTCAGCTGGAGCTAAATTTAGCCAGCTCTCCATGAGAATTTCATAAGCTGGATTGTGAGGTGTTGCTCCTGCTCAGTGGCTGGGATTGTCTGTACCTTGGGAACACCAAGGCAGGGGATTAATGCTGGCAGTGAGTGATGAGCTGGGATATTCATGTCTGAGCTCCTCATCCCAGTGCCCTGCAGCCCTTGTTCCATACAGGGATGAGTTTTGGCTCAGGACTGAGCTCAGTTGTCAGAGACTGAGGAAAGATCCCCTGATCCCTGTTTGGTGGTGCTCCCCCCTTCAGTGGGCATCCTTGTGGGACTTGGCACTGTCTGGCTCTAGGGGGTGTAAACCCAAATTAATCACTTTAATTTGCTTGGCTGCTGGTGGCAGCAGTGGGGGCTGAGTTTGGCAGATTCCTCTTGCAGGATATTCTCCCCTCTCCACTCCTGGCATCACTTCTCTCCCAAGGAGCACACAGGGTCCTTGTTTGGTTATCCAGATCCTTTGATCCAGGTTTGGATCAAGCCATTGTCTGAATCACAGAGGAGGAGGCTTCAGAGAGGGGCCCCTAGAGCCTTTCAAAACCAGGGAATAATCCCTGTGTGTATCCCAGCTCCTGAATCCACATGGACACCATGGTGGGATGCAGCATGGACCGTGCATTGTCCTGAGCTGCTCCATGGAAGCTCCACAGCCCATGGTGGGATCTGTGGCCTCATGAGGACCATCCTGCTCCTTCCCAAACCTCCCCATGCTCTGCACTGCTGACAGCCATTCTCCATCACTTGGATTTTTTATCTGGCTGTAAATGAAGCCCAGTGGTGCAGGTTTCCCTTTGGGATGCAGCATGGAGTCCTCCTTGAAGCTCTGGGATGGGAGATTCCGAGGTGTTTCCTGCTGTTTTTCACTAGGATGTTGATTCCCATCACCTACTGGAGCAAGTTCTGCTCCCAGCCCTGCCTCCCCATGGCTCCTCCATAATTACCTCCTTTCCCCCTAATTCCCTGTTCCAGCCCGTGGTTAATTGCACTAGGATAATTACAGGTGATCTCGATTTAAAGTGCTCAGCCCTGAGCCTGGAGCAGGCGGCAGTTCCCACCCTCGGTGCCAAACTGGGCATTTCTGTGCCTGCTGCCTGTGGAGCTGGACCTTTGGAGCAGATAATGAGCTTTGCTGGGGTGGGAAGGTCATGGCCATATCCCATTATTTGCCCTGGTTTCATCCTCTTAGCCCAGTGCATCCATGGGACACACAGAGCCAGCCCGGGATGGTGTCACTGGGAAGGGCCAGGGCAGGGTCCCCTGGGCTTTGGGCTGTGGGAGGCTCCCAGAAGGATTTTGGGGTGGGGAGGAGCTGAGTTGTTTGCAGAGGAGGAGGTGAAAACATCACCCTGAGAGTGTGGGGTCTGGTCTGGCCTCTGAGAGCATCAACCATTCCCCAGCCCTGCCAAGGCCACCACTGCCCCTGTCCCCAAGTGCCACATCCACATGGCTGTTAAATCCCTGCGGGGATGGGCACTCCAACCCTGCTCTGGGCAGCTGTGCCAGTGCCTGACCATCCTTTCCAGGAAGGAATGTTCCCAAAATCCCCCCTGCCCCTGCCCTGGCCCAGCCTGAGGCCGTTCCCTCTGCTCCTGTCCCTGTTCCCTGGAGCACAGCCTGACCCCCCCGGCTGTCCCCTCCTGTCAGAAGCTGTGCAGAGCCACAAGGGCCCCCTGAGCCTCCTTTGCTCCAGGCTGAGCCCCTGCCCAGCTCCCTCAGCCTCTCCTGGGGCTCCAGCCCCTTCCCAGCTCCGTTCCCTGCCCTGGACACGCTCCAGCCCCTCCAGGTCTCTCCTGTCAGGAGGGTCCCAGGGCTGATCCCAGTTTTGAACACATGTGAGATGGAAGCACAGCCAGGAATTTGGGGGGACAGGACCCTGAGCCCTCCCTGCCTTCAGTGGGAAAAGCATCAAAAGGGTGGAGAGGGGACACATGCAGGGTCTGATCCCTCCATGCTCCAGTGTATGTCAAGCAAAACCTTAAAGGAAAAACTTCTTTCCCTGGACAAGTCTCAAATCCTGCTCCTGTCCAAGGGAAAGGTTTGATGAAAAACTGATGAACTGGAGCTTTTCTTGGACAAATCCTGGTAAAATCAGAGCACTTCATGGAAACTGAAGCCCTGAATCTTCTGCTTGACCAGGAGTTGCCTCGATCCTCAGGTGCCACCTGCAGCCCAAATGCTGAGTAACCAAGCCAAGAGCTGGATGAATCATCTGTGGAATCCAAATAGCTGGAAACAGAAAATAAGCAAGTCCTGGGAATGTTGTAGTCAGTCTGTCAGACATCCAAAACTCTCTGGATGTCTCTGAATAGGTTTGAGTTTTTCAGCTAGCATTTATCCATTGGACTCCCTTGCTATGACAAGGAATTGCACAAGCACAGTTAATTTCCCTTCTCGCTGCCAGCTCCTGGAGAATTTCCATAAAAATCCTGTTTCTCTACTTTGAAACACAAGAAGAAGTTCAGTGTGTTGCATCTGGCAGGGATTTGGGGCGGGAGGAGCAGCCCTGCCTGCGTGCTCAGCTGCGCGTGGCGCTGATGGCAGAGGAAGCAGCGAGGCCACGGGAACTCAGGGTTTCATCCAAAATAGAAAATAACCTAAAAATAGAGCTGTGAGGGCCTGGCTGTGCTGTGAGGCCATTGTGTGGGATGTGGCAGTGTGGGACAGCCAGCAGTGTCCCCATGTCCCAGCCCTGCTCCCGGACAGCTCCTGCTGGCAGTGCAGCACAGCTGGGCCGGTGGTGCCAGTCCTGGGGGGCTTTGGGGAGGGGGATGGTGCCAAGGGGTTCTGCCAGCCTGGGTTGTGGTGTCCCAGCTGTCCCCTGCCTGGTGGCACAGGATGGATGCTGGGTGTACTGCAAGGCTTGGAGCACTCCCTGAGCCCTCCTGCCCTGTGCCCTGTGTGTCTGCGGGGTCCCCATGGCTGGGGGTCCCCCAGGCTCACTGGGGAGGGGAATGGGGGTTCTGGCCATGGTGGATGTGCTGCAGGGGCCAGGCCCTGGGCTGTGTCCTGGGCTGTGCAGCTCTGGGGAGAGCTGGGTATCCTTCCTCTCTGCCTCCCTGGAGCACAGGGATTGCTGGCTCCTGGCTTGAGTAGCCCAGAGCAGCTGTGGCTGCCCCTGGAGCCCTGGATGTGTTCAAGGAACAGGGCTTGGAGCAGCCTGGGCTAGTGGAAGGTGTCCCTGTCCATGGAATTGGATGATCTTTAGGTCCCTTCCAGCCCAATTTGTTCCATGATTCTGTGATCCTCTCCTGTCTGTCCCATCCAGCTTCTCCTCATTTGCTGAGTTTGGTCATGAAGGTGCCAGTCAAGACCTTTGGGCTTGGTTGAGGGATGTGAGAGCTCCTGAGGAGCACAGTGGGCTCAGGGCTGGGGACAGGGACAGGGCCAGGCTGCCATGGCCAGCTGTCCCTGTTGCAGCCACCTCCTGGGGGATGGTTCAGCTTTGGATGGCCAGAGCTGAGCTGTGGATATGGGAATTGAGCACAGCTCTGGGAGTTGGTAAAAGCCCTCTCCTGGGAGAGGAGCAGGAGGGGGTGTTGGGGTCCCCATGTGCTGTGACACCCCTGGCTGAGCTGTCCCCTGTCACAGACATCTTTTAAGGAAAATCTTTTCCTTAGGATTTTTCCTCCTGAGAAGCTGAGAGGCCTCAGGAACAAAATGTAAATAATGATTATCTGCTGCTGTGGAATGCAACAAGTAGATCTTTGATTGGCCCATGTTGATTGTTTCTAATTAATGGCCAATCACAGCCCAGCTGGCTTGGACACAGAGCTGAGCCACAAGCCTTTGTCGTTATTCTTTCCTATTCTTTTCTTAGCTAGCCTTCAGATGAAATCCTTTCTTCTATTCTTTTAGTACAGTTTTAATGTAATATATATAATAAAATAATAAATCAAGTCTTCTGAAACGTGGAGTCAGATCCTCATCTCTTCCCTCATCCTCAGACACCTGTGAACACTGTCACTGTCCCTGTGTGCTGTGACACCCCTGGCTGAGCTGTCCCTGTCTTGGTTTGGAAAGCCAGGAGTCTGCTAAGGAAGGCAGGAGCCGCCCCTCAAATGGAGAATGTAAACCCTCTCCACCCCTCCCCATTGCTATAAATTTTAAATAAGGGGCTCTCAGGCAAAAATATGGGAGCAGGAAATAGCAGTTCTTTAATAGGGAAAAGAAAAAAAAACCCACAAAGGATAAAATAAACAATGTACTACACTAGAACAACACTGCCAGAGTCAGAACCCAGCCTGACACCGTGTGGGTCAGGGTGTTGGTGGCAGTCCCATTGGAATTGTGGCTCAGCCTTCCTGCAGTGTCAGGGGTGGTTCTGCTGGAGCAGGGATCCTGTAGAGAAGGATGGATTCTTCCTCTGAAGATCCAGGGGAAGGAGAGGCAGCTGCTGCTCCTCTGGGGAATCCAGTGGAGAAGCCGTGCTGGTGTCTCAAAACCTCTGGATTATATCTGGGTAGGAATGCTTGGCTCCTCCCTCTGGGCTCACATCTCCCAATGGGATGCTGTAGTTCTTATCAGCCATGCAGGGACATTCAATAGCTGTTATCAGCAATGTCCCCTCCCGAGGGAGGTGTGATTGTGGTCACTCAGAGAGAGAGATAAGGCAAACTGCCCACTTGACAAAGGGAATCTGCCATACAGAGGGTAATGGAAAACATCTTGCATTGCAATCTTCAACAGCTCGGTGTGCTGGGACACCCCTGGCTGTGCTGTGACACCCCAGGCTGAGCTGTCCCCTGTGCTGTGACACTCCTGGCTGAGCTGTCCCTTCCCTGCAGGCCTGCCGTGATTTCCTGGACCTCGCCGAGAGCCACAGCCGGAAATGGCAGCGGCTGCTGCAGCATGAGCGGGAGCAGCGGATCCGCCTGGAGGAGACCATCGAGCAGCTAGCCAAGCAGCACAACAGCTTGGAGAGAGCCTGCCGAGGGGCACCCGGGCTGGCCACGGGCACTGCCAGCAGCGCCAGCGCCGCCAAGGGTGAGCTACAGCCCGGGCTGGGACGGGGGCTGGGAGGGACAGGGATGTTGGGGGATCCTGGGATGGGACAGGGCTGTTAGGGGATGCTGGGATGGCACAGGGCTGTTAGGGATCACTGGGATGGGACGGGGATGTTAGGGGATCCTGGGATGGCACAGGGCTGCTCAGGGATCCCTGGGATGGGACAGGGCTGCTGGGGGATCCCTGGGATCGGGGACGGCTGTAAGGGGACCAGGATGGGACGAGGCTGTTCAGGGATCCCTGAGATGGGACAGGGCTGTTCAGGGACCTCTGGGATGGGACAGGGCTGTTCCAGGGCCCCTGGGATGGGACAGGGCTGTTCAGTCAGCTCTGGGATGGATCAGGGCATTCTGCCTGGCTGCTCCCAGCGAGCTGCCAGCAATGGGAAGGGTGCCCAAGGCAGTGCCCTGTGTCCCCATGGTATTTTTCTAAATGGTTCCCATTACACCATAATTACTCCTAATTGTCCTTGCTCAGGGACTTGGATGTCCCCAAGATTCAGATGCAGAGAGGGCTGTCCCCAGCTCGCTGATGCTATTCCAGGCTGTTCTGGGAGCTTTAACCCTTACTGGTGAGCACATCTCCGGGTGTGCACTGGGAAAAGGCTCAGGGTCCCCTGGCACTGCTGAGTTGGCTGAGTGGGGTGGCAGTGGAACAGCCAGGGCTCGTCTGCAGTAAGATCCAACAGCTTTGCACGTTCCTGCCAAGTCCTTCCCCCAGGGCAGCGTTAGTTACAGCCACAAACACAGCTCAGAGTGCTGGGTCTGATTTTAAAGGAGATACAGACCCGGGGGACAGAGCAGTGGCTGCTGGAGGTGGGGGGTGTTGGTGCCAGGCACTGCCCTGTTCCCCCTCAGGGGAGGTTTAGTTTGGATATTGGGGAGTATTTCTTCTTGGAAAGGGTTGTTTAGCCATGTCCCCATCCCTGGCAGGATTTAGCAGCTCTGTGGATGTGGCACCTGGGGACACGGGTTGGGAATGGTGGGGCTGGGTGTCCTCAGAGGGCCCAGCAGCCGGAAAAATCCTGAGGGGCAGCTGGGGGAAATGGCTGTGGGGACAGGCACAAATCCACAAATCCGCCTGGGATGGTGACACAGCTCCTCTGGAGAGCGGGAGTGAGGCAGGGAACAGGACTGTCCGGGATGGGCTGGGAGCAGGGAAGCTGCACAGTGACTTGGGTGCCACAGCCATGGATTGAAGCAGAGGGATGTTTGGGAATGGTGTTTGGGAATGGTGTTTGGTGTTTGGGAATGGTGTTTGGGAATGGTGTTTGGGATTGGTGTTGGGGAATGGTGTTTGCTTGGGAATGGTGTTTGGGAACGGTATTTGGGAATGCGGGGCTGGGAACCCTCTCCAGCATCACCTCAAACACGTGATTTGTTTTTCCTGCTTCAATCCAAACCGGATTTCCTGGCGGACGGGGCGGTGCTGGAGCGGAGCCTCACCCAGACGGGGTTGGGCTCGGCCGTGTCACCCTCAGGCAGCCTGGGGACGTTTTGGGGGTTCTCCCGAGCACAGCCTTGTGTGCCTGGCTTGGGGAGCAGGGCACATCCTGGCCTCGAGGAGCTGGAAATCCTTGGGTACAGCTTGGGTACAGCATCCTCGGGGTGTGCAGTGGGATGCAGGAGGGTCAGGCTGTGAGGAGGGGACACAGGGGTGGCTCTGGGGACAGATCCTGCAGTGGGCTCTGTCTCAAAGCCTCTGTGCCAGCAGGGAGTGTGCAGTCTGCCAAAGGAGAGGCCAGTGATGAAGATGAGGAGACGGAGTACTTCGATGCCATGGAGGATGCACCAGCTTTTATCACAGTAACTGCAGACCCCAAGCACCACAGGTACCGCCCCTGCCTGCCCGGGAATGTGGGGAGGGCTGGGCAAAGCCCTGGTGTTCCCTCAGCAGCCCCTCCCACGGGGTCACTCTGGGGCCATGTCCTCCAGAACTTCCCCTGCCCCTGTCCAGAGGTCTGTCCTGCATCTGGCTGCTCCTGCGTTCCTGGAGCAAGGCTGAGGGTGGCCCCCAGCTGTAGGGAAGCAGGTGAGGAAGGGCAGTGTCAGGCAGTGCTGTGGGAGAGCTGAGTCCTCTGTCCCTCAACCTTAAAGCTCCTCTCATTCCACCCCCTGTCATGGGCATGGGCACTTTCCACTATTCCAGGTTACTCCAAGCCCCTCCAGCCTGGCCTTGGGCACTGCCAGGGATGGGCAGTCGCAGCTGCTCTGGGCACCCTGTGCCAGGGCCTGCCCACCCTCACAGGGAAGAATTTGTTCCCAATATCCCATCAAATCCTGCCCTCTGTCTGCTGTCACCTGCTCTTACTCCTCCATGGACGCCTGGGCTGGAGGAGCCTGTGGTCTGACCATGGTCACATCTCTGGGCTTGGTGACAAAAGCAGAACCTCTGTGCCCCCAGGGCTGTGGCTGAGAATCCCTTCCTGAGCATCCCGTCCTTAGAATCCCCTCCTAACAGCTGTGCACAGCCTCTGGCACCCCAGCTCCTTCCTGGCAGTGCCTGGGGGTGCAGGAGGTGCTCTGGGGGTGCTGCACAGCCCTGGGTGCTCCCTGCCCTGTGCTCCCCACTGCTGTTCTCCCCACAGGCGTTCGGGCAGCAACCTGAGCGGGGCCAGCGAGGGCCACCCCGAGGACTGGAACCTGGAGGACAGTGTGAGTGGGCTGGGCAGGGTGGGCAGGGTGGTGCTGCTGGGGTGGAACCAGGGCAGAGGGGATGGCTGGGAAGGGTCCCTTCATCTGTGGTGGTTCCTCAGTGAGTCACACATGTCAGCAGGCATCAGCATCCTGAACATTCTCCTGAGGGAAGCAGGAGGGTGTTGGGGGACAGCTGTACCCATATTTCTGCTAGGAGTAAGGCTGGTATTGGGGTTGTGATGAATAAGATTGGGGAGGATGTTGATGGTCGAATGGGCTCTTTGATAAATAGTTTTACTCCATCTGCTAGAGGTTGTAGGAGCCCAAATGGGCCAACGATGTCTGGGCCCTTTCAGCCTTGTATGTAGCTTAGGATTTTGTGCTCTACTAGCATGAGGAAGGCTGCTGCAGTTAAGATTGGGAGGGCATAGGAGACAGCTATGATGAGGTTGATTAAGAGAGGGTGGTTAGTCATGGTAGATGGTTTGGTGTTGCACTGTGTTGCAATTTCCTGTTTTACTCCCCAGTCCCTTCCCAGGTGTGGCAATACCTCTCTCCTTTCCCCCTCGCCCCCTTGCTGAGTGAGTTCTGTCAATCAGGCTTAGCATTCCAGCAAGGCCATCGTGTGGTTGGTCACGTTCAAAGGATGCAATCCAGGGTTATTGGCCTGTCTGTGTGTCCCTCGTTCCCTGAGACCCTGTCCCTCCCACCTGGTTGGTGATTGCTGTCCCTTCCCCTCCCCCTGTCCCTGGGCCTAAATCCAGCCAGGACCATGTGCTCGGTGTTCTGTTGGAGCTGTTACCAAGACTCAGATGTCTGTGACTATGGAATAAACTCTGGATGTTAACCCTCCAACAGAATCCATCTCCTTTTCCTGTTCACCCTAGCCCGAAGCCTTCCCACCTGAGGTAAACTGAGTTTCTACAAGCCTGGGTTTGTTTCAGTGCCCAGCTGCAACCTCCAGCCACCCAAAGGTGTCTCTGGGGTGAAACACCACAGTTGCCTCTTTAGGCCCAGCAGCAAGGGTCAGATGAGCCCAGGCACAATCTACCTGGTAATATTGGGATCATATTCCAATAGTTTGGGTTAAGCTAGGGAGAGGATTTGAGCCTCTGAGTTAAAGGACTGAAGCCTTTTGCATTTTCTGAGCTCTGCCACGCTAGCTGGTCATTTTCTTGGACGTGGTGTGGTGTGATAGCCTTTTGCAATTTAGTTGTTTTCACAGGCTTCCAGCAGTGCTCCTCAGGTGTCTCCTGGGCTGTGGTTGCTGTTCCTGGGAGCTGCTGGGTCTGGTTGGGTCCAGTTTAAACCTGAGTTCCTTCTGTTGCTTCCGCAGGTGTTTGAGAGCTCAAATCAAAGCAGCTACAATGAGTCCACAGGCAAAGATCTGCTGCCAAGGAAGAGGAGAAGGACTCGAATTCCTGACAAACCCAACTACAGCCTTAACCTCTGGAGCATCATGAAGAACTGCATTGGCAAGGAGCTCTCCAAGATCCCCATGCCCGTGAGTCTGAGTGTCCCTGGCACCAGGGCTGGCACAGGGGGTGGGTGTGGGCAGCTCTTGGCTGTGCAGAGCTTTGGGTTACAGCCCTGGATGGTCCTGCTGGTGCTGTGGTGGCACAGCAGCCCCAGGCAGGGACAGGAGATTGTCACCAGGGACTGGATTGTGTGCCTGCAGCTGCTGCATGCTCATCATGGAATTGTGGAATGGTTTGGGTGGGAGGGGAGCTTAAAGCTCATCCAGTCTCACCCCTATGAGCAGGGACACCTCTCACTGTCCCAGGCTGCTCCAGCCCCAATGTCCAGCCTGGCCTTGGGCACTGCCAGGGATCCAGGGTGGGCACCCTGTGCCAGGGCCTGCCCACCCTGCCAGGGAACAATTCCCAATTCCCAATATCCCATCCATCCCTGCCCTCTGGCAGTGGGAGCCATTCCCTGTGTCCTGTCCCTCCATCCCTTGTCCCCAGTCCCTCTCCAGCTCTCCTGGAGCCCCTTCAGGCCCTGCAAGGGGCTCTGAGGTGTCCCTGGAGCCTTCTCCTCTCCAGCTGAGCACCCCCAGCTCTCCCAGCCTGGCTCCAGCCCTTGCAGCATCTCTGGTGCCTCCTCTGGGCTCTCCCCAGCACATCCCTGGTGTCCTGGGCAGGCTGGGGCAGAGGGGACATCGCCTGAATGTCCTCTGCCTGTCCAGCTGCTGCAGAGGCATTAGGGCAGCAGGACACTGTGAATCCCTGGGGATTCATGAGGAAGGGACCCTGCTGGTGGTGATGTTTTCCCCCCTGTGATCCAGGACAGGGATCAGGGCTCAGCCCCACCTGCACCAGCCACGGCAGGGCTGGGTTCCACCCCAGGGGCTCAGAGAGCCTCTTTTTCCTTACAGAGAAAGATGAAGGAGGTGCTGGGGGCAGGTTTTGGGTGCTGCTGGTTCAGCCCTGGGGGCAAAGGCTCCCTGTGATGGCCAGAAAGGGTTTGCTGGGGGTCTGTGTGTGTGGAACAGCCCCACATGGGCTGCACAGAGCCACGTTCATGGGTGAAGAGCAGGGAGCACATTCCAGGGGCTGGGATGCTGCATTGGTTGTGTTCTGTCTCTTCAAACAGAGCCTCAGTGACAGCTCAGAGCTCTGACGAGAGTGATGAGCTGTCTCTTCCTTGTGCTGTTTCCAGCTGGGATGGACAGCCCAGCACCATCCAGTTCTGCAGCAGCAGCAGATCAGGGCGTGATGGGCACAGGAATGAGCTCAGGATGTGAAATCCCAGCAGCTGCTGCTGCCTGGAGAGAGAGATTTGTGCTTCTCCTATCAATCAGATCATCCTGGGAGCTGCTCGAGTCCAAACCTGAGGGCAGTGGGGAAGAGAGGAGGTTTAGATTAAATATAAGAAAAATTGTTCCCTGTGAGGCCCTGGCACAGGGTGCCCAGAGCAGCTGTGGCTGCCCCTGGATCCCTGGCAGTGCCCAAGGCCAGGCTGGATGGGCCTTGGAGCAGCCTGGGACAGTGGGAGGAGTCCCTGCCATGGCAGGGGTGGCACTGGATGGGCTTTAAGGTCCCTTCCAGCCCAAACCATCCTGAGATTCTGTGAAATCTTGAAGGATCCCACAATCCCTATGAAATGAGAAGGAAGGTGCTGCCAGAGATGCACCAGGACCCACCCCACAAGCTCAGCTGCATATGGATATTATTTGGGGAGATTCCTGATGAATTAAAGCATTTCTGAGGTTCTCTGAGGTCTTCTGAGACCCCCATCCCCTTCCTGGGGATGTGAGGGACTGACAAACCCCTTGTGCAAACAGCTCCTTGATTCTCCTTCTGAATGAACAAATCTGCAGCACTGAAAAGGAGAAAAATAGTTGTAGGAATTTGGAATTTGGGTGGATTCATCTTCTTCCCCCATGAAAAGCTTTTGCTCCCTGTTGCCTGAGGATGCAGCTGCTGGCTTTGTTCTCTGCATCTCTCCCGAGAATTATCCCAAGTGATTTGCTCTTTATGTGGATTTGATGCTGCTCTTTCTCCCCAGCTCCCTCTTTCTCTGATGCTGTAAGATCCCTGCCACTTGCAGGCTAAATCCCTGAGTGGAAAATCTAAAAAAAGCTAAATCCTGGAATCTGCAGTTTGTTTTTTCTACTATGAAATATTTAACTTGGCTTACAGAAGTGCTTCTTCAGCCATCTGCTCCTCTTAAAATATATTTCTTTGTTTTGAAATGAAACGAAAAAGGCAGAAGACCTTTTGTGACTCTGTCTTGCTTTCAACTATTTTTTAATTTCAGTATTTTCAGAGGGAAAAATAGAGGTGTTGGGGACTGGAGTCTCAGGCAAATAGAGGTCTTGGGACTGGAGTCTCAGGAGCATGGGGATCCCAAAATGGGGCTTTTCCAGGAGTCTCAGGAGCATGGGGATCCCAAAATGGGGCTTTTCCAGGAGTCCCAGGAGCATGGAGACCCCAAAATGGGGCTTTTCCAGGTTTTCTGGGCAGCTGGGTCACACAGGGATGGAGGGGATGAGGGCAGGCTGGGGAGCAGCAATCCCTGTGCTGTGGCCAGTGGGATGCTGCCTGGGAGGGGGCTGATCTCATTGTTGAGGCTCATTTTGGGGTCAGGGTGATCACCTGGGCTGATCCCTGATCATCCTACACCCTGAACCTTGGTGCTGCCTGGCACAGATCAGGGAGCAGAGCACGTATTCCCTTTCCTTTGGCCTTGGAGGTGCCTCTTGGGGATCCCTCCTGCTTTCTTAACCCCACCCTGTTCCCCTGCAGGTGAACTTCAACGAGCCCCTGTCCATGCTGCAGCGGCTCACGGAGGACCTGGAGTACCACGAGCTGCTGGACAAGGCAGTGAAGTGTGAGAGCTCCACGGAGCAGATGTGCTTCGTGGCCGCCTTCTCCGTGTCCTCCTACTCCACCACGGTGCACCGCACTGCAAAGCCCTTCAACCCCCTGCTGGGGGAGACCTTCGAGCTGGACCGCCTGGAGGAGCTGGGCTTCCGCTCCCTCTGCGAGCAGGTGAGCGCTGGGCTGCTCCTGCTGCTGCTGCCGTCCTGCTGGGGGCACCAGCAGCACCTCCCCGAGCCTTCCCTGGGCTCTTCTCCCAAAAATGGGATGGAGACAAGGTGGTGGGTGGAGTCCTCATCCCTGGGGTGTCCAAGGAAGGACTGGATGTGGCACTCGGTGCTCTGGGCTGGGTGACAAGGTAGGGATGGGGCACAGGTTTGGCTGGATTGGCTTGGAGTAGTTGCTGCAGTGATGCCAGGCTCTGCCACCAGCTCCTTGCAGGACACCCAGGGGTGGACAAAGCCGTCCCTGGCAGTGGTACCCAAACTTGTCAGGCACCTGTGGAGTGCTGGCTTGAGGCAGGATGGCACCTCCATCTCATCCCATCCCATCCCATCCCATCCCATCCCATCCCATCCCATGCCATCCCATGCCATCCCATCCCATCCTCTCTAGGCTCTGTGGGGTCTCCTGGAAGTGTGACCCAAGGAAGGTCCTGCAGTAGATAATCCCCAGAATTCCTGGCTCTGCTGTCCCTCCACACCCCCAGCGCTGTGGGCCCAATGTCACCCAGCTCTGCATGTCCCCAGATGGCCCATCCCAGCCTGGGAGCCATGCCAGTGAGGTGGGACACTGCCAGCCACAGCCTGAGCCCTCCTGCCTGCCAGGGTCAGAGGTGGCCTCAAGCCTCAGCCACCCCAGCACCACAGTGTCACAGAGCTGTCACAGGGCTCAGGTTCTCCAGCTCAGAAGTGTCACACCTTCACCTCCCCCTGCCTGGCAGCAGTTCCTGGCCTGAAACCTGGTTCAGCCTGGAAAGGATGAATCCATCCCTTGGCCAGCTGGGGTACCCTCATACCATACCCTGACCTTCCTGGGGTGCAGCTGAAGTCCTGGGTAGATTTCTCAGCCCTATCCCAGCTGCAGTGCCAAGCCCAGGGCTGCCTGTCCTCTCTGGATACCTCTGAGCACATCTCTCCCAGTCCTGCCTGTCCAGTACTGCTGGGCACCCCTGACTGCATCATTCCCAAACTTTTGTCATCCCTGTTCTCATTCTTTTACCCCCCTTTTTACCACACTCCTTCCTCCATCCCTGTTCCCTCCCAGATAAATAACCTGCCTGGAATTGCTTTCTCTGGCTGGTCCCAGTTTTCCTGTGTTTGTACCCAGATTTGACATTGGAGGCACCAATTCCAGCCTCTTTTCCCACTGCTCTGAATTTTCCTTGGTGCTGCCTGTGCTGCTCAGCCTGCCAACGTGCCCAGCCAAGCAGTGATAATCCAGTGCCTGAAATCCAGTTATCCAAATAGGATTTCCTGCTTCTGCTGCCTGGATTTAATGTCAGGCCCTGGCCCTGCCCGTGTGTGTAATCCCGAGCTCGGGGCGCTCAGCCTGTAATTACAGCAGGGAAATCATCCCAGAGCTCTGGGGATCTGTGGGTGCCTGTGCCAGGCTGTGCCACCAGGTCCCTCTGCCTGGGATATTCCTGCTCCTGCCTTGGGTTTGGGCAGATTTTTTCCCAGGGCAGGGTGATGTGAGCACCACCTCTAACAAGTCACTCTCAGGATTTAGGGTGCTGTGTCCACTTTTCCAGCCTGGTGTGTGTGAGAGGGAAAAGCCAAAATCTTGCTGTGTGTTCTGGACCAGTTGTGGGTCTGTGTCCTCTGGGATTGCTGGGGTGCCAGCACATCCGTGTTTTCTCAGCCAGGATCCCAGGAAAGCAGTGCCATGGCCTGGGCTCAGGGAACAGCAGCATCTCACAGTGATGGTTGCTCAAGGGAAGATCTCATGGATCATGCTTTGAAAAGAGCCTGAGCCAATCCTGGCAGGATCCTGGTGTGTCTCCCTTTGTGCCAGGGCACTGCCCAGGAGGGGATTGTGGTGTCTGAAAAGCTGATGTGGTGCCCAGGGCCTGGAGCATCCTCAGTGCTGGGCTGGTGCGGGGCTGTCCCCTCCCTGAGCACTCAGCTGGGCTCTGTGTCCTCACGGGCTGTGTGTCCTGTCCCCAGGTGAGCCACCACCCCCCAGCAGCCGCCCACCACGTGTACTCCAGGCGAGGCTGGACGCTGTGGCAGGAGATCACCATCGCCAGCAAGTTCAGGGGCAAATACCTCTCCATCATGCCACTGGGTAGGTGATGGATCCTGCAATTGCCTGGGATGCACTGGCTTTGCAGTTAAAGGAACTGCTGCCTTAGCCTTGAGCAATTTCTTGGGTTCCTCTGGGGCTCAGAGAACCCCCTGGGCTCAGCTGGGGCTCAGAGAACCCCCTGGGCTCACCTGGGACTCTGGGAATCCCCTGGGCTCACCTGGGGCTCAGTGGGTTCTGCCCCAGGCAGTGGAGGAGCCCAGGTTTGTGCTCCTGATCCAATGATCCAACAATGACATGTCCGCCCTGGAAGTGGAAATGATGCCAGCTGCAAAGGCTGCTTTGCTTTGGAAATACCCTGCTTGCCCAGGAAGTGATTTCTCCTTCCATGATATTTAAAGTTAACTTGCTGCCTGTTTTAACCCTCTCCCTGCCAGTCAAGAGCAATAAGCTGCCTCCTTGCAGCATTTTATTTTCCTTTTGCCTGTCCCTGGGCTGGGCAGCATTCCCAGAGTGGTGCCAGCACCTGAATCAGCCAGGCAGCACATTTCTGACCTGGTCTTAGAGTGAACAATTCTGGCAAAGGGCCTGGTAGGAGATGTCCTTCCCTTCCTGGAGCACTAAGGGGGGGATGAATCCAGAGCCAGACCTGGTGGGGGGATGCAGGGAGAGGGATGAGCACGGTGCTGGGGTGGTGGTGGGCTCTGGGGAATGAACACCTGCCCTGCTGGGCTCAGAGCATCCCTGTCTCCACAGGCGCCATCCACCTGGAGTTCCACTCCAGTGGGAACCACTATGTGTGGAGGAAAGTCACCTCCACAGTGCACAACATCATCGTGGGCAAGCTCTGGATCGACCAGGTGGGTGAGGGCACACTTCTGCCTGGCCCTGGGGGCTGGAGGAGCACTGGGCACGTGCTCCTGCCACGATGGGGAGCTGTGCTTCCCTGCAGGGCTGGGAAAGCTTCTGGAACCTTCCCTGGCTCTGCCCGAGGCCAGCAATGCTGGGGGTGGCTGGAGGGGGGGCAGCCACCGGTGCTGCTGTGCCCAGTGGGGGTTGGTACCTGCACTGCAACTAACACCTCCTCTGTCTCTCCCTGCTGTGGTTCTGTGTCTTCTATCCAGTCTGGTGAAATAGAGATTGTTAACCATAAGTCCAAAGATAAATGCCAGCTGAAATTTACCCCCTACAGCTACTTCTCCAGGGATGTCCCCCGCAAGGTGAGTATCCAGCAGGGACTCTGCTCCTTCAGGGGTCACTCCTGGCTCTTCCAGGCTCCCAGTACCACAGGGATGAGCCCCAGCATGGGGCTGAGGGGCTGGCCAGGCAGGGTCACCAGGGAGGGCTGGGTGGCACCTCCATGTCCTGTGGTTTGGCTCTGATGTGCTGGAGCTGCAGCACTGACACTGGGAGGGGTTTGGTGGGTTGGACACCCATCTGCAAGGTCAGGGATGTCCAGGGGACACAGCACCACATCCAGCTGGGCACCTGGAGGCTGTGGTGTCCCCCTGGGCATTCCCACGTGCCACCAGAGCCGTGTCCCCCTGGCAGGTGACAGGGGTGGTGAGCGACGCCGACGGCAAAGCGCACTACGTCATGTCTGGCACGTGGGATGAGAAGATGGAGTGCTCCAAGATCCTCCACAGCAGCCATGGCAGCACCAGCACCGAGGGCAAGCAGAAAACTGTGTACCAGACCCTGTCCCCAAAGGTCCTGTGGAGGAAGTACCCGCTGCCGTGAGTCCCTGGGCTGGGATGGGCAGCAGGACTGGGATGGGGATGGGATGGGATGGGATGGGATGGGATGGGATCTCCCAGGGCCTTGTGGAATGGCAGGCTCATGTGCCCAGGCCTGAGGACAGGTGGCACTTGTGGGGCTGAGTGGCTTTTGCTGATGTGGGTCCCTGGAAGGGGAGGGTGGCTGTGGGGACCCTTGTGGGTGAGTTTGGGGCAGCTGGTTGGGTTTTTGGGGCAGTGGGCTCTGGCAGGGAGGGCTGTTGGCTGCTTTGCCTTGCTGGTCATTGTGTCCTTGGCCATTGTGTCCCACCAGTCATTTTGTCCCCTGGAGACCAGTCCTCCCTTGGCCCTTGTGACCATGGCAGGGCTCAAATCAGTCTCTGAGCCCTGGGAGAACCAACAGTCTCTGCTTTGGGGATTTTCTGTTGGGAAAATCACCACTACCCTGGGCAGCCTATTCCAATGCCTGACCACCCTTTCCAGGAAGGAATTTTCCCTAATATCCAGTATAAAACTGCTGTGGTGCAACATGAGGCCATTTCCTCTCCTCCCATCCCTGTTTCCTGGGAGCAAAGCTCACCTCCCCCGGCTGTCCCCTCCTGTCAGGAGCTGTGCAGAGCCAGAGCCATCACAGAGCTGTCAGCAGCTCAGTCCCTTTTCCAGCCACACACATCCCATGGGAAAGATTCCATGCTGCCCAAATTCCTAAAGAGTCAAGCTGGATTTATCCACAGGGAGGTATTATTGAGAGCCTGAGGCTTTTAGGAGAAGAATTTGTTGGGAAAATTCTTGGGAAAATACAGCCTTATGGCTGTAGGCAGACTGGGGTGAGTGTGTGCAGCTCACAGGGTCCCCCCTGAGCCTCCTTTGCTCCAGGCTGAGCCCCTTCCCAGCTCCCTCAGCCTCTCCTGGGGCTCCAGCCCCTTCCCAGCTCCGTTCCCTGCCCTGGACACGCTCCAGCCCCTCCAGGTCTCTCCTGTCAGGAGGGTCCCAAGGCTGATCCCAGTTTTGAACACATGTGAGATGGAGGCACAGCCAGGAATTTGGGGGGGGACAGGACCCTGAGCCTTCCCTGCCTTCAGTGGGAAAAGCATCAGAGGTGTGGAGGAGGGGACACATGCAGGGTCTGGTCCCTCCATGTTCCATGTGTATGTCTCAAAGCCCCCTTAGAGCATCAAGTCCAAATGTTCCCCTAGGACTGCCAAGGCCACCACTGCCCCATGTCCCCAAGTGCCACATCCGCACAGCTATTAAATCCCTGCAGGGATGGGGACTCCAGCACTGCCCTGGGCAGCTGTGCCAGTGCCTGATCATCCTTTCAGTCATTAGAAATTTCCCCAAAATCCCCCCTGCCCTGGCCCAGCCTGAGGCCGTTCCCTCTGCTCCTGTCGCTGTTCCCTGAAGCACAGCCCGACCCCCCCGGCTGTCCCCTCCTGTCAGGAGCTGTGCAGAGCCACAAGGGCCCCCTGAGCCTCCTTTGCTCCAGGCTGAGCCCCTGCCCAGCTCCCTCAGCCTCTCCTGGGGCTCCAGCCCCTTCCCAGCTCCGTTCCCTGCCCTGGACACGCTCCAGCCCCTCCAGGTCTCTCCTGTCAGGAGGGTCCCAGAGCTGCCCCAGCCCTGGAGGTGCCCCAGCTCAGCAGGAGTGGCTCTGTGGGGCTGTGCCTGAGGCACTCCCCATGCTGAGCAGGCTCTCTCCGTTCTCAGGGACAATGCTGAGAACATGTACTTCTTCTCGGAGCTGGCGCTGACGCTGAACGAGCCCGAGGAGCGCGTGGCGCCCACGGACAGCCGGCTGCGCCCCGACCAGCGGCTCATGGAGAGCGGCCGCTGGGACGAGGCCAACGTGGAGAAGCAGAGGCTGGAGGAGAAGCAGCGAGCTGTGCGCCGGCGCAGGGAGGCCGAGGCCGTGGAGGCCATGGAGGAAGGTGAGGAGCGCTCGGGGATGGCTCAGCATGCAGGGACTGCGCTGCCAATGGTTGTGGGGGACACACCCTGTGAGCTCTGGGGAGCCCTTATGGGCGGGTTTGGGGTGCTTGTGGGGGCCGGTTGGGTTTTTGGGGCAGTGGGCTCTGGCAGGGAGGGCTGTTGGCTGCTTTGCCTTGCTGGTCATTGTGTCCTTGGCCATTGTGTCCCACCAGTCATTTTGTCCCCTGGAGACCAGTCCTCCCTTGGCTCTCATGACCATGGCAGGGCTCAAATCAGTCTCTGAGCCCTGGGAGCACCAACAGACAGTCCCTGCTTTGGGGATTTTCTGTTGGGATGGGGTCTCCAGCACTGCCCTGGGCAGCCTATTCCAATGCCTGACCACTCTTTCCAGGAAGGAATTTTCCCTAATATCCAATCTAAAACTGCTGTGGTGCAACATGAGGCCATTTCCTCTCCTCCCATCCCTGTTTCCTGGGAGCAGAGCTCACCTCCCCCGGCTGTCCCCTCCTGTCAGGAGCTGTGCAGAGCCAGAGCCATCACACACCTGTCAGCAGCTCAGGGATCCAGGGGCAGCCACAGCTGCTCTGGGCACCCTGTGCCAGGGCCTGCCCACCCTGCCAGGGAACAATTCCTAATTCCCAATATCCCATCCATCCCTGCCCTCTGGCAGTGGGAAGCCATTCCCTTTGTCCTGGCACTCCTGTCCCCAGTCCCTCTCCATCTCTCTTGGAGCTCCTTTAGGAGCTCCAATCCAGCCACATGCATCCCATGGGAAACATTCCATGCTGCCCAAATTCCTAAAGAGCCAAGCTGATTTTATCCACAGGGAGGTTTTATTGAGGAACTGAGGCCCTTGTGGGGGCTGGTTGGGTTTTTGGGGCAGTGGGCTCTGGCAGGGAGGGCTGTTGGCTGCTTTGCCTTGCTGGTCACCATGTCCCTGGCCATGTCATTTTGTCCTCCCTGGAGAGCAGTCCTTGGCCCTCCTGACCACAGCAGGGCTGGGCTGAAATGAATCCCCGAGCTCTGAGACCACCAGCAGCCAGTCCCTGCTGCTCTGGGAGCTGTGGGATTGCAGGCTGCAGGTGCAGCAGCCCCCTGAGCCCCGTTGTGCCCCCAGGGAAGGACTACGAGGGGTACCTGCCGCTGTGGTTCGAGCGCAAGGTGGACGCCGTCACCGGGGAGCTCATCTGCGTCTACAAGGGCGGCTACTGGGAGGCCAAGGACAAGCAGGACTGGAGCGTGTGCCCCGACATCTTCTGAGCCCCCCAGAGCTGGGGGGCCACCCCTGGGACACTGGCACAGCCCGAGGGACAGCGAGGACACGCCGGCAGCGTCCCGCCGGGCCGACACGGTCAATACATGCAGAGATCCAAACAGGGATTCCAAACCTATTTTTTTATGCACTAATAAATAGCATCTTTTTTTTTTTTTTTTTTTTTTTTTCCTAAATGATGGATTTTCCAGCGACTGCTTAGGAGTGTGGACACGTGGAGCTGGGCTGGGTTTAGGATGATGTTCATTGCTGTCAGGAGTTGCTGCCTATATCCTCCAGCGCCTTGGCTCCGCTGGCCGAGACGTCGACTTCCAAAGATGCCTGGGGTGTGGGAATGCTGTGCTTGTGTGAGCTCTTCTCTTTGCCATTTTTTTTTTTCTTCTTTTGGGACCCCATTTCTGTGTGGACTTTATGGAATTATTTTTTTAAAAAAAACAAATCCTGCTCCTGGTTCAGGTTTCCTTCAAAGATGGACACGAACAACTCTGCTTGGAAAACTGTCCCCAGGAGCTGTGGCACTTGATCCCAGAGGCTCTTGGTGGTTCCACAGTGCCCAGCCATCCCAGTAACACCAAGTAGGATATTTCAGCTGGTGACTTTGGGGTTTTTGACCTGGTTTTTGCTTTTTTCAAGAGCGTTGGAGGTGCTTCCCCACAGTCTGATGTGTTCAGGCAAGGCTTGGGCCTGTCTTTATCATGTGGGAGTGGTTTGAGTGAGGTTTGCTTTGGTTTTCCTGCAACCACATCCGGAGGGGGAGATGGCCCCAGCGAGGCTGGGAACACCAGGCTGATGCAGTGAAGAGTTTCTGTCCCAGTGATGCTCCTGCCTCCGTGTCCCTGCTCGGTGTCCCTGCACACGGGGGCTGGATCTCAATTCCAGCTTCTCCATCGGTGTCTCCTTCCTGAGCTGTGCCTGAGGCTGGGTGGGAGAGGAGGGAAGAGGTGCCCTGGGGAGAGGAGGGGAGAGGTGCCATGGTGCTGCTGGGATGGAGCCTTGGTGTCCTGCATCTCCTACCCCGTTCAGCTTCAGCCAGGCCTGGCCACAGGCTGAGGCTGGAGGGTCCCTGTGCCCCAGCACCAGCTCCCAACTCCTGTTCCTCCCCTCCCTCACCCCGGGCTCTCCCTGCAGCAGCTCCAGTTTGTCGGGGCAGGGAGCCCCTCGTCCCCTCAGCCCTGCTGGGTCCATCACCCTGCCTGGCCCTGGATGCACCCGGAGGAGCAGAGCGAGCACTGCTGCTGACAGGTGAGGACCGGGAGCGCCGAGGGGAAGCAGGAGGTGGTGGCATCCCAGAGATGGCATCTGCTGGGCCAGGAACACCTGGAGACCTGCACTGGCCCTGCTGGATCCCATTTTTGCTGTCTCCTCTGGCTCTGCACCATATCACACTGACCCTGCCTCCGGGGCCGCCCCGAGCCGTCACACCCACGTGAAGTTAATTAGCAATAACGAACCTTGGGGCAATGGTAACTGGAATATCCAGGCTTGCACACGGGACACTTATGCAATCAGGTTCCTCATCCATCAGTCTCCTCCTGATCAGCTTCCAGCACTTCCATCCCTGTGATCCCCACAGTGTACAGTCCCCAGGGCCCTGATGGCGTCACCGTGCTGCAGGGCAGCCCCCACTGCTCTCAGCGCACCCTTTAATCTTATTTATTTGCTTCTAATTTATACATATATATATATAAATATATATAAAATTATTTTGCTTAAATTTCTATGGTACACAAAAGATGAAAAATGATGAAGACAGAAGTGTCTGTCTGAGTTTTTACAGCACGAGTACGATTCCCCTCGGCTCGGCCCCGAGCTCGGGTGGTGGTGATGGATTCCCATGGCAGGGAAGCAACGGTTTGCTCCAAAGCTGGATCCTGTAGCATGGAAAAGGTGTTCCAGAGACATTCCCATCTGGAAATGATGTGTTTGGGGTTTGTGGCACTCGGATTCCTGGCAGTGGGATGCTCCAGGCTGCTTCCCAGTGTCCCGAGAGCTTTGCCCCTGCTTGGGAAAGCTCATCTTAAATGCTCCAGCCTGGGGTTTGGCCTGTGGGAGCTGCCCCAGGTGTCCTGGCCCCAGGTGTGCTGCCTGGCAGAGGGAGGATGTCCCCACGTGTCCCTGGTGCCGCTGCCCTGCCTGTGGCAGCACCGCAGTGCCCGGGGGGTTTCTGTAGGAGGGGTGGAATGGAGCTTTCAGAATGCCTTATTTGCCTTTTTGCTGTGTCAATGCAAGTGTCACCCGGGAGCTTGGAGCAGGGAGGAGCTCCAGCCCAGGCCGTTCCCGGCTGGATTGGGCCGTTCCCGGGCGGAGCAGAGCAGGAGCGGGATGTGCTGGGCTCTGGGGCCCCAGGGGTCCCCTCTGCTGTGCCCCCATCGCCCCCTCCATCTGGGAACCCCCACCACAGACCCTGCTCAGCTCCACGGAGCCTGGGGGAGCACGAGGAGCAGCCCCAACCCAGAAATCCCCCGGATTTTAGGCTAATGGAAAAAAAAATTGCTCCATCTTCCAGAGATCATCTTATCAGCAGCACTTAACCAGAGCACCATCTCCTGGTCCTTCTGTTCCTCCTCGAGGATTTTAATGTCATTCCACTGTAAATGCTGTTGAATGTATTTTCTTTTTGAACAATAATATATTGTGAGTGATCCCTCTTCTCCTACACGGAAATAAAACTTGGATTCGGGAGTTTTAAAGGCCGTGGTGCTGAGATGGTCACTGGCTCCTGGGGGCTGCAGGTCCTGGAGGAGCTCTGGGTGTGAGGGAGACATGGACACAGGGTGGGGGACAGGGAGGAGAAGATCCAGGGAATGTTGCTCAAAGGACAGGGAAGTCCAGGGAAGTGGTTCAGGGAAGGAGAAAGATCTGGGGGAGAAGGTGTCGAGGGGAGGAGGTGGTGCAGGGAGGGTGGTTTGAGGGCAGGAGGAGAGGTGATCTGGGGAGGTAGTCCAGGGCAGGAGGGCCAGGGAAACAGGAGCAGGGAAGGAGATTATCCTGGAGTAACAGCTTGAAGGAGAAGGAAAAGAGAAGAAGAGAAGGAGGAGGAGGAGGAGGAGAAAGAAGAAGGGGATGGAGAAGGAGAAGGAGGGCAGGGCTTGCCCTGGGAAGGAGATCATCCCAGGGGAGCCTGGCCAAGGGGGAAGGTGATGGTGGCCCAGAGGAGGAGGATCAGGGGAAGGTACCCAGACACGGAGATTCCCTGGGGATGGTGGGGAGGAGCTGCCCCCGGGACTCTGTGGGGCAGGAGCTGCCCGGGGGAGCTGGAGCAGGGTCCGGGCCGGGGCTGGGCAATCCGGGCAGGCTCAGGCCGGTCCCTGCGGGATGTTGCCAGGAGACCGGGACACACAGCCCTGCCCGTGCCGCTCCTGCTCCTCTCGGCCGGCCCAGGTGAGTCGGGGCTGCCCTGGGGGGACCCCGGCCCTGCCACCCTCCCTGTGTGCCCGGGGAGCTCCGGGCACGGCGGTGGCCCCGGGCACCTGCAGCTCCCAGGGCAGCTCCAGTGCCGAAATCCTGGGTTTAAGGGAAAACAGCCCCCAGCCCCATCACCTCCGGGGCCGAGCTGGGCTGGGCTGGGTGTGTCGGTCTCAGCACCTTCACTGAGCCCTGGCCCAGCACAGCTGGATCAGCACAGCTGGATCAGCACAGCTGGCCCAGCGCACCTGGATCAGCACAGCTGGCCCAGCACACCTTTGCTCTGGCACCTTTGCCCCGTCCCCTCCAGCGTGCAGTGGTTTAGGAGCCCAGGGTGGTTCTGGGGATTTCTGGCCCAGCCCAAGGGCTTTGGGACCCTCAGTGCTTCTCTCTTCCTCTCTGCAGCCCTGGAGCCCAGGGCTTTCAGGATCCTGGATCTGGACCCTGCTGATGAAACCTGGAATCCAGGTGTGGGGTGTGGGAAGGGGGGGTTCCTTTGCGGGGCTCAGATGTGGGGGGGCAGCTGCAGCACCAGCCCTGGGGTGCTCCTGCCTTGTCCCCCCAGTGAAAACATCTGGCAGTGCCCCATTCTCTGCCCCGTTCCTTGCCCCATTCCCTGTCCCATTCTCTGTTCCATTCTCTGTCCCATTCCTTGTTCCTGTCCCATTTCCTGCAGCTCCCGGGCGTGGCTGTGCTGAGCGCTGGTGGCAGCAGGGACAGTGCCATCCTTGGCATCCTCCCCATCCATTCCATCCTCCCCATCCTTCCCAGCAGGGTCCTGCCATGGCCGGTGAGTGGGCACGGGGCACTCGGAGCTTCCTCAGCTCTGCTTGGCCCCACAGCCCCCTCTGCCTGGCTGGGAATGGGGATGGAGCAGAGGTTCAGGGGCTGGGAATGGGCTGGAGCCCCAGGAGAGGCTGAGGGAGCTGGGCAGGGGCTCAGCCTGGAGCAAAGGAGGCTCAGGGGGCCCTTGTGGCTCTGCACAGCTCCTGACAGGAGGGGACAGCCGGGGGGGTCGGGCTGTGCTCCAGGGAACAGGGACAGGAGCAGAGGGAACGGCCTCAACCTGGGCCAGGGGAGGTTTGGATTGGATATTAGGGAAAATTCCTCCCTGGGAGGAGCTGACACCATCCCTGCCCCATCCTGGATGCTGCCAGCCCTCCCTGGCACTGCCCCTCCTGACCCTGGGAGCATCAAGGTCAACAATGACCCTGGTTTAAAACGAAAATAAGGATGATGTTGTGGCTTTTCCTTCCAACTGGAAGCAGTTGAGGATCTTGCAGCAGAGGGTGGGATATGTTTGGTGTCGGTGCTTTGGTGCTCCCCAATAAGAACAGGCATTGCCAGCGCCTCCCAGGTGGCTCAGACCCAGCAGGATGGGATGGCTCCTTCCCACCGGGATGGGCTCATGGCCCTACTGTCCCCACAGAGCTGGCAGGACGCGGTGCCGGCTGTGCCCGGGCTGGGAGCCCTGTCCCACGGGAAGAGGAGCCCTGCAGCAGCTCCAGCTCCGTCTGCACCGAGGACTTGGCTGCCAGCTTTTGGGAGGCGATGGTGGAGCCGCTGCTGTGCCAGCAGGAGCCTGCCGGGGGTGTCCCCAGGGCAGGAGCTCACCCTGGGCAGGACGAGCCCTTGTTCCCCGCAGGGAGAAGCCCGGACACGGCCATGGAGCCCAGCAGAGCCCCCCGGCAGGACAGCTCTGCATCCCGGAGCAGCCTGGAGTCCCTGGGAGCCAGGATCTCCCGCCTGAGCCTGAGCCAGAGCCATGGCGGGGTGTCCCGGCCGGGCCCCCCTGCCCAGGCAGCCCTGGCACACGGGGACGGTGCCCGTGGGGAGCTGCTGGGCACAGCTGGGCACCCCTGGATCGCTGCAGGGATGGCTGCTGGCAGGAGCAGGGCCGGGGCAGGGACAGGAGCTCCTGGCAGCAGCGCTCCCAGGGCCAGCAGGGCCACAGCCAGGGGACATCCCGCCCTCTGGGGACATGGAAGGAATGTCACCTTCAGTGTGGCTGCCGTGGACAGGGAAGGAGCCGCCAGCAGCAGGAGTGAGTCCGGGCTGGCCCTGGGGCACGGGAGGGGCTGCAGGGCTGTGACAGGCAGGGCAAGGGACAGGCAGGGACAGGGACACGGTGGCAAAGCCAGCCCTGGCTGCCTGTGGGGTTTCTGTGTGTTTGTGGCTCCTCCCTCCCCAAATGCCATTTTCCCCCACAGGTGCTGGCACATTCGTGGGAGTTCCCCGGCCATGGAGGTCACCGTTGTCCCCAGGGCTGCGAGGGGACCAGAAAGGGGAGCTGCCCTGCAAGGTACAGCCCTGGGGTCTGGGGTTTGGGGTCTGCCATGGCACAGCCCCACCTGGGACAGGATGCATTGGTGGGGGCAGGGATGGAGGCAGGGATGCTCCTGGCTCTGGTTCCAGCTGGGATCTGGAGAGCAGCAGGACACTGAGGGACCAGGACACCGAGCTGGGCCCTGGCCCTTGTGTCCCACGTGGTGGCCCCGGGAATGCACCAGGAAATGCAATGGGAAGGGGGAAAATGGGATTGTAACCCCAGTGCTGGATGCCAGGGGCTGGCGGGGCAGCCTCTGAGGAGGAGCCAGGAGGGGACACGAGCGCTGGGATCTGGTGCCAGGCCCGGGAGCCAAGGGGACAGAGCCAGGTATGGGCTCCAGAGATGGCTCCTGCCCCAGGCTGGAGCAGGAGGTGGCCCTGGAAGCCCAGGAGGGGATGGGCACCCTGAGGGCAGAGCTGGGGCTGTGAGTGACGGTGTCCCTGGCACAGGACTGGCCTGGCACTGCTGGGACACACCTGGGACACCTGTCACCAGTGCCACACAGACCTGCAGAGCACGGTGAGGTGACCTTGGGCTGGCACTGCTGCAGGGGGCAGGGACAGGCTGGGGTGGCTGTGCTGGCACTGCTTTGCTGCTCCTGGGGTGATGGCACGGCCAGAGCCGGCTCCTGGAAGAGAAAAAGGTGTGGGAATGGGAAATGAGGAGGTTTCTGCAGTCTTGGCAGGGGCAGGGAGCCCGTGTGAGCCAGGAGCAGCTGGACAAGGAGAGAAGGAAAATAACTGCACAAGAAGAGAAACTGGAGCTGCTGGAGGTCAGAGCACTCCTGGTTTTCCAGAGGGGCCAGGATCACACCGGAGGGGCCGTGGGAAGGAGCACACACATCACACCCTGCCACAGCTCAGCCCCTTGTCCAGCATCCCATGGGAAACATTCCTGCCGCCCAAATTCCTACAGAGCCCAGCTGGATTTATCCACAGCGGCGTTTATTGAGGGACTGAGGCTTTTAGGAGAAGAATTTGTTGGGAAAACCACTCCTGTGGCCGTGGGCAGCCTGGGGTCAGTGCCTGCAGCTCAGAGGGTCCCTGGAGAGCCCCGGCAGAGGGAGGAGAGGTGGAATGTTGGGAAGGGCAGAGAAAGAGGCAGGAGAGCTGGAATGTTGGGAAGAGCAGAGAAACAGGCAGGGCTGGAGGCCGGGGTGAGAATTCCGGGGTGCCGACCCAGCAAAGCTGAGCCCTTTCCCAATGGGCAGCAAGGCCGCGATCCTGCCCTGAGCCCTCCGGGGCTGTGGGGTGGCCCCGGGCAGCCCAGGGTGACTCCGCTGGTCCTGCAGAGGCTGCGGGAGCTGGAGCGGGGCAGCCGCCACCTCCTGCGGCAGCGGCTGCGGGTCCTGCACCGCCTGCAGGGGCTGCTCCAGAGGGACCGGGCCCAGAGCCTGCGGCTGCTCCGGGAGGCCATGGAACAGGTCCGGGAGGGGAAGGGAGGGGAGGGAAGGGGAAGGGGAAGGGGAAGGCCGGGACACAGCCAGCCCGGATCCGGGGCTGTGGCTCGGGATCGGCCAGGGGCCCACATCAGCCCACATGTGCTGCTCTGAGGCCGCCCAGAGCAGAGGGGCTGGTGAGGACGGTGCTGTCTGTGGCACGGACCGCGCTGGGGGTGGCTCTAGGGACACAGGAGGTACCCCCGGGGGTCTCTGTCTCTTCTGCTCCTTCCAAACCTCTGCTCAGCCCGGGGGGCTCCGGATGTCCCTAGGAGCTCTGAGCTGGCTCCGAAGCTGCCCCAGGAGCGGCTGAGGGGGCAGAGCTGCCCTGATCCCTGTCCTGTCCCTCCAGGAGGAACTGAGGGGCAGAGCTGCCCTGATCCCTCTGTCCCTGCCCCTCCAGGAACCGCCTGGTAGCAGCGCCCGGTGGGAGCATCGCCCGAGCCGGGCCGGGGGCTCCGTGGCCCTGGGGAACTCCCCGGTGGCCCTGAGGAACGCCCCGGTGGCTTTCCGGGGACATGGCCCCCGGCCTGGCACTGCCCTGGCACCGGGCCCCTCGCCGGCAGCCCTCAGGTGGGTGCCCGGTGCTGCTCAGGGGCACTGGGGTGTCCCACTCGTGCGACCCTCTCTCCCTGTCCCCTCCCTGTCCCCTCCCCGTCCCCAGCCACTCATCGCTGCCCTCCCCAGCCGCGCTCTCCACGTCCTGCGGGAGCTCCGGCAGCAAATCCAGCGGCGCCTCGGGCAGTGGCAGGGCCTGGAGGGAGCCCTGGGAGTCGCCGGGCAGAGGAACGAGGTGATTTAGGGCTGGGAGGGAGGACATGGGGTCCGTGACAGCCTCAGCCCGTGGAGGAGCCCCCATTGTCAGCCCCTGTGCAGGGCGCGGGCCCAGCCGTGTGTGTGTCCCTGTGCAGGAGGGGGAGCAGAGGCAGCAGCCACAGAAGGTCTCGGCTCCAGGAGCCCCGAGGGAGCCCCCGATCCAGGTGAACCAGGCCCCAGGTCCTGCCCCGAGGCTGAGCTGGGATTCAGGGGCCAGGCCTCAGGGGTTGGGGTCTCAGAGAGCCTCGGGGGCCCCCGATCCCCTCCAGAGGCTCCGTGCCCAGCTCTGGCTGCTGAAATGTCCATCGGGTGACACTGTGTGTGTGTCCTGCCACTGCAGCTGCCACGTGTCCATGGCTGAGCTCCAAGGCACGAGGAGCCAGGAATGTGTGGGCAGGATCCTCCCGGAGCTCCCAGCCCCGGGCTGAGCTGCCCTTTCCCTCTCCTGTGCAGGGACAGAGGGAATGTCCCCATCCCACCTCCATCCCGGGGCTCCCCCAGCCCGGCCGGGGCTCCCCGGGGCTCCTGCAGCACCTCCAGCACCTCCAGCACCTCCAGGAGCTGCAGCTGGGGCAGGCCCAGAGCCCAGGGACCCCCCCTGCCCTGGGGGCACCGCTGGGCACCGGGGCCAGGCAGGGCCTGGGGGCTGCCCCTGTGCCCCAGCCCCGCTGCTGACCCAGGGGAGCAAGGGGGGCTCCAGTGTGGAGCACAATTCCTGCTGGAACAGCCCTGTGGCCTCAGGCAGTCCCACCACCATCAATCCGTGCCTCCCGGAGAGCCCAGGGCCTGTGTTGATCCTGGGGGAATCAGCAGGAATGGCCATGTGTGACAGTGTTCACAGGGGTTTTCAGATGAGGGGAGAGACGAGGATCTGACTCCATGTTTCAGAAGGCTGATTTATTATTTTATGATATATATTAAATTAAAACTATACTAAAAGAACAGAAGAAAAGGTTTCATCTCAGAAGGCTAGCTAAGAATAGAAAAGAATGATAACAAAGGCTTGTGGCTTGGACAGAGAGCTGAGCCAGCTGACTGTGATTGGCCATTAATTCCAAACATCCAACATGGGCCAATCACAGATGCACCTGTTGCATTTCACAGCAGCAGATAATCATTGTTTATATTTTGTTCCTGAGGCGTCTCAGCTTCTCAGGAGGAAAAATCCTAAGGAAAGGATTTTTCATAAAAAGATGTCTGTGACAGCCATGAAATCCCAGGAAGCCTCTGCAGAGCCTGCCTGGTTCAGGCTCGGGGGCTCCAACATGCTCTTCCCACCCTGCAGCTCCTCCTCTGCTCCCATCTCCCACTCTGGGACAGAGCAGGGACTGGCTGGAGGTGACATTTCCTTTTCTGCTCCACCAGTTGGATATTTGGGAAAAACTCCAAGCAGAAAAGGAGGTGAAACATTGGCCCAGGCTGCTCAGGGAAATGGTGGAATCACCATCCCTGGAAGTGTCCAAAAAATGGGTCCATGTTGCACTTTTAGTGGCATTTGGTCAAAGGTTGGACTTGATGACATTGAAGGTCTTTTCCCACCTGAATGATTCCATGACTCTGAGTTTCCTACCTACACAGTTATGGAATTCCAACAGGCAGAACCAAGCTCCTGCAAATTCCCTGAGGAGCACCATGAGGTTGTGAGGGATCTTGGAGTGCCCTGGGACCAGTGGGATCTGCCCAGGCTGGGATGGCTGACCCTGGGACAGAGAGGTTTGATGGAAAAAACCCAAGGGAATTGCTCTGTTTGGATGCTTTTATTTGGAAAAGGAGAAACCCATTCCTCACTCTGGGCAGATTTCCTTGGGAAATGCTAGTTTTAATTGGCAGGAGAACATCCAAGGAGGGTTTCTCCATGTGAAAAGGGGGAAATGGGAATTTCTTGCAGGATTTTATTGCTGTACCTTGTTTCAGGAGGAGGGAGGGATGAGGATTGAAGGATCTGTGTGCTTCCTTTCCAATGAAAATAAAAGTGAGGTTTTTATGTTTCTCTGCAATGTGGGATCAGGGAAAACCTGGAATCCCTCAGGATGCTCAGTTGGTCCCTGGCTGAAGGTCAGGATTCATTATTTTCCTTTTAAGTTTCACAACCAGAACAGTGCCACAAACACATTTTTATACAGAGCTCTTCATGAAACCCCAAATGTTTGCAGGGCTCCAGGAATGTCTCTGCCACCCTCAGGGCTCCTGGACATGTGGGTGACACCAAGGGACACAAACCTGATCCTGCAGCAGGAGATTGCTGGAAAAATGGTTCCCAAATCCCTGAAGGGTTCCCAAATCCCTGAATGGTCATGGTCAAGATTTCATCCTGTGGGATTTTCTGCATTGTCTGAGTCCCAGGTGTTCCCTCAGGATCTCAAAGAACCAGGGAATGCTGGGGGCACCTCTGGGGTGGTGGGGCAGGGACCCAGACAGTGCAGGAATACAGTTTTGGGGTGCAGGGATCCAGTCTGGGCTACAGGGACCGAGTTTTGGGCTGTAGGGACCCAGTTTTGGGTTGTAGGGACCCAGTTTTGGGGTTGGGCGCCCAATTTTAGGTTGCAGGGTCCTGGTGCTGGTACCTGGTTCAGGTCCATGTGCAGGGTCCTGGATCCTTTGGAGTCTTCCCACTGCCACAAGAACCTGAAATTATTCCCCAGGGGAAAAAGGAGGATAAAAAGGATGTGGCTTGGTGGAAGTCTTTTGTTTGGTTTGATCCTGGAGTGGGATGTGTCCTTTCCAATGGGAAGTGAGCTTGGGATGGAGTTTTAGAGCCCTGTGTTGCCTTTGGGATTTTGGAATCAATGGAGCACTTTCCTGAGAGGCAGCAGATGGAGTCAGACTTTTACAAATATCCATCAATTCACCTTTCTCCACTATTTTTGCTGTTTTTGACCCTGGGATGCAGCTGGAATGTCTCACATGGACACCTACAGCCTCTGCTTTGCTCTGGAGCCACCCAGAGGGTCCCAGGGATGGCTTTGCTCCCTGGCCAAGGGAGGAGCTGCTGAAAACAGCAAAACAGCAAAGCAGCAAACCAGGTGGGAATTCCTCATCCTCTGCTCTGGAGCCAGGCTGGGAGAGCTGGAGAGGAGAAGGCTCCAGGGAGAGCTCAGAGCCCCTTGCAGGGCCTGAAGGGGCTCCAGGAGAGCTGGAGAGGGACTGGGGACAAGGGATGGAGGGACAGGACACAGGGAATGACTCCCAGTGCCAGAGGGCAGGGATGGATGGGATATTGGGAATTGGGAATTGTTCCCTGGCAGGGTGGGCAGACCCTGGCACAGGGTGCCCACCCTGGATCCCTGGCAGTGCCCAAGGCCAGGCTGGACAGTGGGATTTGGAGCAGCCTCATCAGCCCCAAATGAAAACAAACCTCCCAAATTCCCACTTTTCCTGGGCAATCCTGGTTCATCTCCTCGATTCCTTGGGGTGATGATGAACTCCAGCCATGCCACAGGAAACAGGGTGGGTTAAGGGAGGCATATTGACCAGCTGCTCATTAATTCCTGCCATTCCAAAGCAATATCAGCCTGGAAAAGAGCTTTTTATTCTCCTGGTTAATTATTACCCACAGTAACGAGGGTGCAGCAGTGCTGAACTAATGGTGCATTTGCTGTCTTCTCCTAACCCAGGAATTCCTGCAGGATGCTGCTCCAGCAGAGCATTTATTCCCATTTTAAGACATTTTGTAACGAGTATTTTACTCCAGAGGGGAGCTCTGCTTGGAAGGGGATTTTGGGGAGTCCCACAGCAAAAATTCCCACCCAGCCTAGAGAATTTCAGTCCTTGCACTCCTCAGGCTGCCATCCCCAAGGAGCCCTGCTCCATAAGGAGAGTGATTTGTTGAAATCCCATAATTTCCATGGAATGGCTGGGTTTGCTGTTCAGTCCTCCACCATCATTTCCCATTAAGCAGGGCCAATTAATTCTCTTAATTTCAGCGTAATTAAATTTATTAGATGCATTTTGTACTCACACTGAACAAACCTGTCATCGTTTATGGCTCTGGCAGCCAGTTATTGGGTTTTCTTCTCATTCCCATTCTCCATGGATTCTCCCAGCTAATTGTGAGAAATCCCCACTTTTCCTGGGAAAATTGGGGTGATGAGGGGAAAAAGGAGGAAATTCACCATTGGCTGGTCCTGGAAGTGCTGCCCATCCCTGGCAGAGCCCAAGGCCAGGTTGGATTTGGCTTGGGAGGGTGGAAGGTGTCCCTGCCCATGGCAGGGGGGAATGGGATGGAATTTAGGTCTTCCCTTCAGAAATGTTCTTTCATCCATTATGGAAAGAGTAAGAGGGGAAAACCCCAAAGCAAACCCACCCACCCAAGCAGGAGCAAAGAAAATATTTTTCCACTTGGGTGATGTGAGGAACTGGATGGAAAATTGAATGGAAAAAGGAAATAAAACCAAAAGGAAACCACTGAAATCACATGGAAAAAGATGGAAAACGATGGGAAAGAAATAAGAAAAACAAAAAGCAATATCTGCCACCATTGTGTTGGGGGATGAATGGTGAGAAAGGAGATGGAAGCTTTGCTGCCCTGCTGGGATTAAGGATTTTGACAGCCAGGGAGCAGCAGAGCAGGGAAATCACCTCAATTCCCAATCCCAGAGGGAAGGAATAGGGGAAAAATCCCTTCACTTTTCCCCCAGGAAAAAGTAAAGCAAAAAACTCTTAAAATATGGAAAAAAACTTTTCTACACTTTACTAAAAAAAAGAGAGAAAGTCTGGAGAACTTGAGGGGAAAAAAAATGAAAGAATAAATTAGAAAAATGGTGGAAATAAGAAAAAAATTCATTTAATGGGACTTGGAGAGGAAGATCTCTTTTACAGCAACATTGCCACCAAACCAGGACACAGGGCTGGGAGAAATCTGGGAATTGGCCATGGAAGAGCCAGGGAGGGAGGGTGGAAGGGGCTTGGAGCCAACAAATGGAGCAGTTTGGGAGATCCTGGTGCCCTTCCCTTCCCAAAGCAGGGCCTCACACACGGTTTTTAATG